GTTATCACAGAAAACCCCAACAATCATAAATGAATGATTATATGCTGTCATGGCTTTGCAATCAAAAAAATGTTGTTATAATAGAGGCCAAAAGAAGAAAACCATGAATATAACGAAAAGTAAATTTGCCCAGATTGAATTGAGGTTTGGCCAAATTAAGCCTCAAAATCACCACAGAATGGATAAAAATGACCCAACAGCAAGGCAAAGGTGCACATTCCAGCCTTTATGACGATGCTGTACAGGTATATCTCATGTCTGTGAGGCAAATATTCAGCTGTTTGTTCTGCTGTTACCCCAGAACTTTTTTTTCTGATGTGTTTACGAGTTAGGCACAGAATGAACAAGTATTCCCTGTCTGCTTTACAAATTTTAGAAAAAACATTTTGTCATAATTATGATTATAAATGAATAAAATAGGCCATTTACAGCTTTCAAATCTGTGTCTTATCAATATGACTCACTGCCAGAATGACCACTCAATCAAGACTGCCATTTGCGGAAGCTATCCAGGCCCTTTCGGTCCTCCACCAACAACAACATGAGACGCTGGTGGAACTGAAGAACATCCAGGAACAGCGTTTCCAAGAAGGCTTGGACGGTATCTAAATTTTGATACCGTCAAACCGCCTCCATATATTACCCTGGTATCCGGTATTACTGGCGTAATAAAAAAAATTATGACGTAAGGCTCAGACAGCATTACTAAACTGTTAGCTTGTGCCTAAACCATTCAGAAACTGAGTACCTTATATGCGACCTTAGGCTCGCGGTCACCTGTTTGTCTTGTTTGTATTCTTCTGTGCGGGACACTCCTCTCATTCGCACGCACACACACAGAGAGAGAGAGAAAGAGAGCGCGCCAATCGATGCACAGCACTTTCAATAATAATAATAATGATTTATTCAGAAAATTCAATAATGATTTACAGCAGCGGGAATGCAGAGAGCTGTAATCGGGCCATAAAAATTAGGCACGATGAAGCCTGAGCCTGACAGGTACATTTTGATTGACAGCTTTATAAAGCCCGAACCCGTTTACAGACGACATTATACAAATGTGCTCATGCACACAGCTCTATTGCCTTTTTTTTAAAGAATGAGTCATTTATATGTTTTAACATAATTTATTCGTAACAAACGTAGACTATATGCCACTAGGAAGTTGGAACAAAAAAATAAAGTACGTCCTCTGTAACTTAGGTATACATACCCTTAGCCATTAAATTGGCTAACACCAATGAAAAGAAATCTTGCTTAACAAATCAAATTAAAATAAACTCTAAATGATGACGGGTATTTTGGCAATAACGAAATTAAGATAAAGGCTGTGCAAGATTTGTTTTGCCACTTCTCTTCACAATCTGGCATTAAGGTGAAGCTGAATTTTGAAAGAATATTGCCAAGCCTGTATACTCTGTCTACATTATGGTTATATGGTTTTATTAATATTCATTTATAATATAAAAATCCTTTACTCACCAAGATTAGGCTAAGTGTTTTTGTGGAGGAACATTATTAAATCCACAAGCTTTAGCGCAGTCCTGCTTTCATGGGGTCCAGCAGCACTGAACACCGTTTCACTGCTACTCCTACAGGCCGAGATGCAGAGTTCTGATCTGGCTAACTTTGCAAGTTTTGGGTAGGATTGTTTTGTTTTGACCGCCGTCAAAATTTGCTTTTTTACTACTTCGTTATCATTTGCTTCACCTTTTGCAGGGATGGATTTTGATTTTTTCGGGTCCCTCCGGGTTTGGGCAAAGATTTTCAGCTCTAATGCAGACCTCTAGTTCATATTTACCACGTGACATCTCCCTTCTGTTCAGTCGAAACTGAAAATACTGCCAAACTGCAGGTCACTTTGGAGCCCGACTCGTCACCTCACCTCTCCTCTTCCCTCCCTCTCACTCTCCCCCTCCCTCTCTCCTCCAAACTGTCCTATGCTGACAATCACACATACGTTTTTGTAGGCATTAAATAAAGGATATTTAATATTTTATGATCCAAGTCCTCATGGAGGCCCAGCGGGAGGACCGAGAGCAAATCTGGAGTCTGCTGTCCCAGGAGATCCGGCCTTCTCCGACATCTGCCGCCCACCCTCACAATTTCGGGGGAAAAAGCATAGAGTAGAGTTAGCAGTTAACCTGCACCTCAAACACCCGCTAATTCTGGGAACTAATTGGCCTGGATTTAATAGATTATTGGGAGTCTTATGTGCGGGTGTTTCTTGGAAGAAGAAATCACCGGATAGGGGGCGTGTCGCTCAGCTCGGGGAATCCCAGGCGGTGACGTAACGCGCTGACTCAGGGGAAGGGCTGGGAATTTCCCAGTGTAAGGACTTTCCCTTGGAGCAGTCGCGTGATGATACGCTAAAAAATGCACTCAAAAGAGTGCAGGTTATTGATAGGAAAATCCTCCAGCCTGATCGACCCCTCTCCTACCCGTATTTTGTGGTTATTAATGATAGGGTGTATCGAGTGACCCAAGACACTCAAACAAAAGAAGATACAACCCAGTTATTAGTACCAAAGAACCGCCGGGAAATGCTTTTTCAGGCAGCTCATTCTAATCCTATGGTCGGATATTTAGGTCAGGCGGCCACACTAATTCGCCTCATGACCCGATTCTTTTGGCCAGGCATTCACGGTGACGTCAGCAGATGGTGCACTGCGTGCCGTAAATGTCAGTTGGTAAATCCACCGGCCACCACAAAAGCGCCGTTGCGCCCATTACCAATTATGGAGATCCCCTTCGAGAGAATTGGTATGGATCTCATCGGGCCATTAGAGCAATCCGCACGTGGGCACCGGTTTACATTAGTTCTGTTGGATTATGCAACCCGATACCCGGAAGCAGTGGCGCTCCGTAACATCTCAGCAAAGAGTGTTGCGGAGGCGCTGTTTCGGATAATCTTCCGAGTAGGAATCCCCAAGGAGATTCTCACGGATCAAGGCACCGCGTTCATGTCAGGCACGATGCGCGAGCTTTACAGATTATTGGCCGTTAAATCTATTCACACCAGCGTCTATCACCCACAAACAGACGGGCTGGTGGAAAGATTTAATCTCACGCTTAAATCAATGATCTGTAAATTTGTTCAGGAGGATGTGAAAAATTGGGATAAGTGGTTGGAGCCTTTATTATTTGCTGTGCGGGAGGTTCCCCAAGCCTCCACGGGGTTTTCCCTATTCAAGCTTCTCTACGGCAGACAGCCCAGAGGGGTTTTGGATGTCGTTAGAGAGGCTTGGGAGGACGAGCCTTCAAAAAGTAAAAATGAAACTCAATATATCCTGGACCTTAGAGCAAAACTCCACACACTGGGGCGGCTCTCTACAGAGAATTTGCTTAAGGCCCAGGATGACCAACGCCGGCGATATGATAAGGGCACTAAACTTCTTAAATTTTCACAGGGAGATAAAGTACTTGTACTGCTACCCACTTCCAGCTCTAAATTAATCGCCAAGTGGCAAGGGCCGTTTGTGGTCACACGACGAGTCAGTGATATCGATTACGAGGTGGTCGAACGCTCTGGTTACGGGGGGCGATCATCTCTCAGCAAGCCAGCTCCTCGACATCCGGCACCTCCAACGTGAGTACTCAGACGTGTTTTCGCCCCTGCCTGGTCGTACTAACCTGATCCAGCACCATATCGAGACTGAACCGGGCGTGGTCGTTAGGACCTGGCCGTATTGCCTACCTGAACACAAGAAAAAAGTGATTCAGGAAGAATTGAGTAATATGTTGAAAATGGGAGTAGTAGAAGAATCCCACAGCGACTGGGCCAGCCCGATTGTCTTAGTACCTAAGACAGACGGCTCGGTCCGGTTCTGTGTGGATTATCGCAAGGTGAATGCTGTGTCGAAATTTGACGCTTAACCAATGCCGCGTATTGACGAGTTGCTCGACCGGTTAGGTGCTGCTCAATATTACTCGACATTGGATTTAACAAAGGACTATTGGCAGATCCCCTTATCTCCAATATCCCGCGAAAAAAACAGCCTTCACTACACCGTTTGGATTGCACCAATTTGTGATGCTTCCGTTCGGGCTGTTCGGGGCACCGGCAACGTTTCAGCACCTAATGTATAAAATACTCTGCCCTCACACAGCATATGCCGCTGCTTATTTAGACTACATCATCATTTACAGTATTGGCAGCGGCATATGCAACATCTGAGAGCGGTATTGTCAGCTCTGAGACGGGCCGGGCTCACGGCCAACCCACGGAAGTGTGCAATTGGGCGAGTGGAGGTAAGGTATCTGGGAGAGTATGTGGAGATGTAAGCGTGATCGAACACCCAATAAGGGGGGAGAGCATGCTAGGAGCCCGGCGGCTAATCAGCAGGTCAATTAGAAATGATAAATAACACCTGTCTTTCTAGTGATTGGGCCGGAGAGACTCCCTTCTTAAGGAGAACAGAAGGAGCAGTCGGGAGTGGAGAGAGCACACACATGCACAGACACAGCCTGCAAGTGGTGTGCATTAAATAATAAAATATATTGCTTACCTGATATCACCGACCCTGTCTTCTTCTTCCCACACAACAACGAACTTTACTACAATGACCAAAATTACTTTTGTGATCAATTATGTAAGAAACGCTGAAAACAGGACACTTTCAATTTACCATAACTTCTATGTTAAGCGGCTTTGACACAGTTTACATTGTAAAAGCACTAGATATATAAAGATGAATTGAATTGAATCATCTTAAATGTGTACATGTTAATGGACCAAACAAAATATGATCTGATTTATTTTACATTTAATGTGCATCAAAATTACAGTGTGTGTAGCCAATGTTTCCAGTGTTTTTTCACTTTTCAGCTTTTGATGAGAGTTTTAAGACTTAATGAAAACTAATGTTTTATTTATTTCAGACCTAATTGAAGAGAATGAGGGGAGTAAAGAGGAGAAACATCATGTCAAAATTGAGGAAAAAAATCATTTACAGACTGAAGTTATTTTAAAAAGGAGGGACAAGAATTGTTTCACCTGCACTCAGTGTGGAAAGAGTTTTGGAAGAAAAGACGATCTTAAGATTCACATGAGGATCCACACTGGAGAGAAAACATTCACATGCACTCAGTGTGGGAAGAGTTTCAGCCAATCATCAAACCTTAATTTACACATGATGATTCACACTGGAGAGAAACCATTCACATGCACTCAGTGTGGGAAGAGTTTCATCCACTCATCATCCCTTAATCAACACATGAGGATCCACACTGGAGAAAAACCATTCACATGCACTCAGTGTGGGAAGAGTTTCATCCACTCATCATCCCTTAATCAACACATGAGGATCCACACTGGAGAAAAACCATTCTCATGCACTCAGTGTGGGAAGAGTTTTGACTGCTCATCACATCTTAATAAACACATGAGGGTCCACACTGGAGAGAAACCATTCACATGCACTCAGTGTGGGAAGAGTTTCAGCCAATCATCATCCCTTAATAAACACATAAGGAACCACACTAGAGAGAAACCATTCACATGCACTCAGTGTGGGAAAAGTTTCAGCCAATCATCATTCCTTAATCTACACATGATGATTCACACTGGAGAGAAACCATTCACATGCACTCAGTGTGGGAAGAGTTTTGACTGCTCATCACACCTTAATAAACACATGAGGGTCCACACTGGAGAGAAACCATTCACATGCACTCAGTGTGGGAAGAGTTTCATCAACTCATCATCCCTTAATCAACACATGAGGATCCACACTGGAGAGAAACCATTCACATGCACTCAATGTGGGAAGAGATTCAGCCGATCATCATCCCTTAAAAAACACATGAGGATCCACACTAGAGAGAAAACATTCATATGCACTCAGTGTGGGAAGAGTTTTAGCCAATCATCATTCTTTAATCTACACATGATAATTCACACTGGAGAGAAACCATTTCCATGCTCTCAGTGTGGGAAGAGTTTCATCCGCTCATCATCCCTTAATCTACACATGATGATCCACACTGGAGAAAAAAAACCTTTCACCTGCACTCAGTGTGGGAAGAGATTCATCCACTCATCATCCCTTAATCAACACATGAGGATGCACACTGAAGAGAAACCATTCACATGCACTCAGTGTGGGAAGAGTTTTGACTGCTCATCACACCTTAATAAACACATGAGGGTCCACACTGGAGAGAAACCATTCACATGCAGTCAGTGTGGGAAGAGTTTCAGCCAATCATCATCCCTTAATAAACACATGAGGATCCACACTAGAGAAACAACTCCCATGCACTCAGTGTGCGAAGAGTTTCAGCCAATCATCATCCCTTAATCTACAAATGAAGAGCCACACTGGAGAGAAACTATTCACTTGCACTTAAGCCGCGGTCACACTGGACTTTTCTCCCATAGACTTCCTCTCATACAAACATGAAGGCTTCAGACTGGAAATACAAGTTTGTGCGTCAAGTTTTGCAGTTCACTGCCTTAAAAAGTTCAAGCTTGGTGAACTCTGACCTGCGAAATCACATCACCTGACTGTGTAGGACCAATTGAAGATCAAAACAAAACCTCTCTGGACAGAAATTTAAAATATGGACCAATCGCTCACTTTTTTTAATGTCTAATCATCTTGTTTAATCCCGTCCCTTTTTGCAGTGCTGTACAACAGAGTTTTGCTTGCTCAAACTCTAATGTGACCGCAGCTTCGGTGTGGGATGAGTTTCAGCAACTTCTCAGACCTTAATCAGAATCAGACTGAGCTTTATTGCCAGGTATGTTCGCACATACAAGGAATTTATTTTCGTGACAGAGCTTCTACAGTGCAACAGAATTATAGAGACAGGACAATAAGCAGATAATAAATAAATATAAAAAAACAGTAAGTAGTGAATGCAAATATTCAAATAGACAAGTGTATGTAGAGCTATATTACTATTACTATATTCCTATATACAACGTTATATGTGCAACTGTTATGTGCAAATTGGCATGTAAAGTGTGTTGTTAAAAAGTGTAAATGTGAGTGTATAGCAAGTAGTGATGTTGGTTCCACAGTTATTATTATCAAGTGTTCGTGAGATGGATTGCCTGAGGGAAGAAACTGTTTTTGGGTTGGGCTGTTCTGGTGCGCATTGCTTTGTATCGTCAACCAGATGTTAAAAGTTCAAAGAGGCAGTGTGCTGGGTGTGAGGGGTCCAGAGTAATTTTTGCAGCCCTTTTGCTCGCTCTGGATAAGTACTTCAGGAGTTTGACAGAGGAGTCCTTTGAAGTGCAGTCATTCATGTACAGGGAGAAGAGCAATGGGGAAAGAACACACCTCTAGGGGGTGCCAGTGCTGATTGTGCAGATACTGGATGAGAATTTTCCCAGCTTCACCAGCTGCTGCCTGCCCGTTAGGGAACTGTTGATCCACTGACAGACAGAGGTGGGCACAGAGAGCGGAGTTATTTTGGGCAGGATAAGTTTTGGAATGATAGTGTTAAAAGCCGAGCTGAAGTCAACAAACAAGATCCTCACATAGGCCTGGGCCTGTCTAGGAGTTGCAGAACATAATGCAGTCATATATTGACTGCATCATTCACAGACCTGTTTGCTCTGTAGTCAAACTGAAGAGAGTCCAGTGAGGGTTCAGTGATGTCCTTCAGGTGGGCCAGCACTAGTTTTTCAAAAGACTTCATGACCACCGATGTCAGCGCCACCGGTCTGTAGACATTTAGTCCTCTAAGTTTAGGTTTCTTTGGGATGGGGATGATGGGGTAGCGTTTGAGGCAGGAGAGCACATCACACAGTTCAAGTGATCTCTGTTGAAGATCAGGGTGAAGATGGGGACCAGTTGGTCAGCACAGGATTTTAAACAGGCTGGTGTTATAAAATCTGGACCTGGTGCTTCTTTCCTCTTGTTTCCTGAAGACCTGGCACACATAATCTTCACTGAACTGAAGTGCAGGTATGGGGTAGGCGGGGGTGATGGAGGTGTTAATGGTGACATGAAGAGCAGTTCAGAGTGGGTATGGGGGTTTTTCTTAAACCAGCAGTAAAACTCATTCAGGTTGTTTGCAAGTAATTTGTTGTCTACAGTACTGGGGGATGGTGTCTTGTAGTTTGTGATGTTTTTTAAGCTTTTCCACACGGATGCTGAGTCGCTGGAAGAGAACTGTCTCCTTGGTTTCTCAGAATAGTTCCTTTTTGCGACTCATTTCCTTTTCCAGTGTGTATTAGACCTGCTTATACAAGGCCCTCTCCCCATTCCTGTAAGCAACCTCCTTGGCCTGACGTGACTGTCTAACTTTTACAGTGAACCACGGTTTGTCGGTGTATGCGAGTTGAGTCCTGGGAGGAATGCACCGGTCTTCACAGAAAATGATATAAGATGTTATAGTCTCTGTGAGCTCATCCAGATCGTTTGCAGCAGCTTCAAAAACACTCCAGTCAGTGAGGTCGAAAAAAACACATGAAGACCCACACTGGAGGGAAACTATTCACATGCACTCAGTGTGGAAAGAGTTTCAACTGATCAGCAAACCTTAATGAACACATAAAGATCCACACTGGTGTGAAAGAGTATATGTGCTTTTAGTGTGAGAAGACTTTTATTACACCTCCAAATTTAAAACCACACCAGACGATTCACACTGGAGAGACCGTACAAGTGTTCAAACTGTGACAAGAGGTTTAATCAGTTAACACATCTGAAAACACAAAAGAGGATTCACACTGGAGAGAAACCGTACAGATCTGATCAGTGCCTACAGAGTTTCGCTCATTCGAAGAAACACATGGACAAAAAGTTTCACACATGCCATGAATGCAGCAAAACATTTTCTCACAGGATGTTTCATGTCTAAATAATGTTTAAAAAGGCTGAGTGACGGTATACTGTTTTCCAACACTGCAGTAGGTGGGGTTGTAAATGTGTTGCGCTCCTCGAGTTTACTGTAAACACAATGATGGCGCCTAAGAGAAGAACAGTTTCATAAACATCTGGCAAACAGTACCTCTGCAGATACATCTGTGCTCCACTCTCCAGTGTATTCATGTAGCTAGTGTTGTTGTGGATAATGTTCTCTGTCTGACTCCGTGAATGAGAAACAAATCACTGGAAAGACACCGCACATTAAAAAAGGTGGAGCTCCAGGACAGCTAGTTTGCTGCATACTGGGGCCCCTCGTTTAGAAAGCCCATTCAATTGTCCTGAGTTGGATCTTTTAATAGTAAAGTTTCCTTACTTTTAGGTTCAAGATTTTTTCTAGTTTACTACTTCTACTTTAAGTAGAACACAAACTTAATTAATATTTTATGATTTAGGCAGAGCGACAGGTATTAAGTTTTATAATATTAAGACACTTTGATGATCCAAGGACTCCAGATTGGAGTTTGTGGTAAATCCTGATTGGATGCCTGCATTACTCATTAATGGGTATATGAAAGTTGTTGTGCTAGCTAACCCAGGACGCTATGACTACTCGGAAGTCCTCATGTCAAGACCTGCCATCTCATTGACTCTTTAACCTTATGGTTTTGTTTTGCATTACTTATATTATGTAGTTAAAGTGTTGTTGTGATTTATATCCTAAGTTCTTTATCTTCATTATTATCCCTAGACATTTGTTGGTTGCTTTGATTAATTGTTCTATGAGTTACATTTTATAATAAATAATTTGCGTTCAGGCTATTTTGTTGGCTCATCTCTCTTTTATCTTTAATGACTCAAACAGGCGGGTCATAACACTTTGTAAAATGTGTCCCGTTGTATCCGAGATCTTGTCCTTTCAGTGAGGACCATAGGTGAGAGTAGGAACGTAGATTGAGCAGTAAATTGAGAATATTACCTCTCGTCTCAGCTCCTTCACCACAACAGACAATCACATCAACTGCATTATTGCTGCCGCTGCACCGATCCATCTTTTAATCTCACATTCCATTCCTCATAAAAAAGGACTCCCCTTCAAACAAGATGGCCACCTTTTTCCAGTCAAATTCTGACTTAGAGGAGCTGTTTCTTTCCCTGCCATGTCACACTCAGCAGCAAACTGTCCCACTGCATGCTGAAGGTTATTATTAAAATGATTTATACTTTTGAGATCAGCCTCGAAAATAACACATTTACAAAATGAAATGAATAAGTTATGTTTTATAAACAAATTTCGGTAGGAGCATGATTAGTGTTTGACGAGGCTAATTCATCGCACACACAATCATTCTATTATCCAATCAGCTCAAGAGCAAACCCCTATAAATAGTCAAACGCGACATACCTCTGTTTTCTCTCGACTTCAGCGTTGGCACATGTTGGAGAAAAGGAATTTATTTTTATTATTGGTTTTATTATTTTTTATTAGAAAAATGTTTAGACTAACAACAGATTAATCAATCTTTCTCTTTTGTATTATAAAACATCTTGACCAGACAAACTTCCTCTTTTTTACTGTGCTGCATACTTTTTAGAAGAACTGCTGACAAGTGGAAAAGCAGAATAAGAATAAATTGAGGGTGGGGGCCTTTGTTCCAGAACTATAGTCTAGACATGTCACAAGTTGTCCTGATGCTTGTTGAAGTTGTAAAATATATTAATTATGCACGTACTTGTTCAGTTTTGGTATGTAGAGAAAGGTTACAGAAAGAGGAAGTAATGTCCAGGGGTTGCAAAGAGCCAAGGGACTGCAGAATGGCTGATAAGTGACGATAAACCAAAACTCCACCTGTTAAGATCAGTTGTGTATATATGCTGGAGTCAGGAAATGTATGTTAGTTGCGAACATCTTGAATGTAATTCTTGTATTGCATTGGGGTAACGTAACCTAGAGCTCTGTCATCGAATTATTCATTTGTATCTAATAAATGACTAATATTTTTAGCATTGAAGAAAACCCTCTCCAGACCTTTTCTTATTGAACACGCATGGAACTGGCAAGATATTCCAACAGTAGAGCATGAGACTCTTAATCTCAGAGTTCTGGGTTCGAGCCCCACGTTGGGTGTTTCTGTTACTTTTCTCTCTCTCAGCAAACTTAACAGTCTCTAGCTCTTGAAAAAGCTTCACATCAGCCTGGCTAGCTCAGTCAGTAGAGCATGAGACTTTTAATCTCAGGGTCGTGGGTTCGAGTCCCATGTTGGGCGTTTCTGTTACTTTTCTCTCTCTCAGCAAACTTACATTAGGGTTCATATAGCAGACCTTTTGAGACAAAGTTTCGCCTTTCTACCACTGTAGGTGACCTTTCCCTAAATCTCTGTGGCGCAATAGGTTAGCGTGTTTGGCTGTTAACTGAAAGGTTGGTGGTTCAAGCCCCCCCAGGGACGAATTTTGCAGTTTGCTGCCTTGCAACTGCTAACACGTGCACTGGTTATATATTCTGGGCCACATTCTGTCCAGCGTTACAAGATGAAATTAGGATTTAGCAGAAGATTGTCACGGGTAGGGAAGGTATTACTGTAAACAGTGTCTAGCTCTTGAAATGGCTCCTCATCAGCTTGGCTAGTTCAGTCGGTAAAGCATGAGACCCTTAATCTCAGGGTCGTGAGTTCGAGCCCCACATTGGGCATTTCTGTTGCCTCTCTCTCTCTCTCAGCAAACTTTCATTAGGGTTCATATAGCAGACCTTTTGAAACAAAGTTCCGCCTTTCTACCACTGTAGGTGACCTTTTACTAAGTCTTTGTGGTGCAATCGGTTAGCGTGTTCGGCTGTTAACTGAAAGGTTGGTGGTTCAAGCCCACTCAGGGACGAATGAGGCATTTTGCTGCCTTGCAACTGCTAACACGTGCACTGGGCATATATCCAGGGCCACATTCTGTCCAGCGTTACAAGATGAAATCAGGATTTAGCCGAAGATTTTCACGGCTAGGGAAGGTATTACTGCAAACGGTGTCTAACTCTTCAAGTGGCTACTTATCAGCTAGGCTAGCTCAGTCGGAAGAGCATGAGACTCTTAATCTTAAGGTCGTGGGTTAGATCCCCACGTTGGGCATTTCTGTTGCCTCTCTCTCTCAGCAAACTTTCATAAGGGTTCATATAGCAGACCTTTTGAAACAAAGTTTCGCCTTTCTACTACGGCTAACACTTGCACTGGACATAGATCCTGGGCCTAATTCTGTCCAGCGTTACAAGATGAAATCAGGATTTAGCCGAAGATTGTCACGGGTAGGGAAGGTATTACTGTAAACGGTGTCTTTCTCTTCAAATGGCGCCTTATCAGCTAGGCTAGCTCAGTCGGAAGAGCATGAGACTCTTAATCTTAAGGTCGTGGGTTAGATCCCCATGTTGGGCATTTCTGTTGCCTCTCTCTAACAGCAAACCTTCATAAGGGTTCATATAGCAGACCTTTTGAGACAAAGTTCCGCCTTTCTACCACTGTAGGTGACCTTTTACTAAGTCTCTGTGGCGCAATAGGTTAGCGCGTTAGGCTGTTAACAGAAAGGTTGGTTGTTCAAGCCCACCCAGGGACAAATTAGGCATTTTGCTGCCTTGCAACTGCTAACACATGCACTGGGCATATATCCTGGGCCACATTCTGTCCAGCGTTACAAGATGAAATCAGGATTTAGCAGAAGATTGTCACGGGTAGGGAAGGTATTACTGAAAACAGTGTCTAGCTCTTGAAAGAGCTTCTCATCAGCCCGGCTAGCTCAGTCGCTAGAGCATGAGACTCTTACATTCACATTTACATTTAGTCGTTTAGCAGAAGCTTTTATCCAAAGCGACTTACAAATGAGGACAAGGAAGCAGAGGTGTGGACTCGAGTCATGTGACTTGGACTCGAGTCAGACTCAAGTCATGAATTTGATGACTTCAGACTCGACTTGACAAAATATAAAAAGACTTGCAACTCGACTTGGACTTGAACATAAATGACTCGGACTTTCACTTGGACTTGCGCCTATTGACTTGTAAAGACTTGCTACTTTCTATAAAAAGCCCAAAATAAAAAGCCCAAAAATAAAAAGTATGTTGACACAGAAAGCTCTATCTCTGCGTGTGTGTGCGTGTGTGACAGAGAGCATGCACGCATACTTTCGACCACTAGCGCTTTGTGGCGCACTTCCGTGTTTTTGCACCAGCGGGAAATTTGAAGATGCCATTTTCATTCTGACTCAGAGAGTAAAATAAACACATCCGCGATCTGCTCCTTTTGTTTTATTCAGCGGATTTACAACATCTGTCAAAGGTAAGAGACTTTACTACTCGCAATGTGTTACTGTTGTGCAAAAGCATTGTTTTACTGTTGTGTATGAGTCAATGAACTTCAGTTTTTTTTAAACCAAATTTACCCTCTCGTGATTTATATCATATAATTATGAATGAACATGGCTGTAATTTATGTTTTTGCACTTGGTCGTTTGTGTCAATGCGCATATTATGTTTTATCTTTGTGTTTTGCCCATCCTCTGACAGTATTTTCTAAGTATTTAATTAGTAGTAACATTAATTACATGCCATAACAACTAGATATATAATTTATTTTTAAAGCTCTTAAAACTGTAAAAAAAAAATTTTTTTTTGTTTTTTTTTTTGGTGACATTTTGCAATAAGGTTTCTTTAGTTAATCTATGTACTAACATGAACTAATAATGAACTATACTTTTAAACCTTTATTAATTATAGTTTAACATTTACTATTGCATTATTACAATTTAAAGTTATGCTTGTTAACATTAATGTTAAGGCACTGTGAGTTAACAAGAATTAACCAATAATTTTATTTCCATTAATTAAAGCAGTGGTTCTCAAACTTTTTTCACCAAGTACCACCTTAGAAAAAAATGGTCTCTCCAAGTACCACCTTACGACGCTATTTTTTAACCAGTATTAAAAAATAGCGTCGTAAGCCTAATTAAGCAGCTACAGGTGTGCACAGTTTTAAAACGATGCAGATTAAATCCTATTATTAAGAATATGTATTATTGTCAGTCACTTTAAACATTTGAAATAGTCTGAACATTAACTGTGCTTGCAGATAAAAAAAAAAGTTTTAGTTAAAATGTGCTTTTAAAAGTTCTTAAAAAGTAAAAAGAAAACTGCTGTACTTAAATCTAAAGTATTCATAGTAGCCTATTCATCAAAAGCTGGAAATGCTGCTTGGACCTTATAAATATAGGCTATATGTCATATTCCTACACTTTTAGACAAATCTTGAAATAAATGTTAAATGTACATGACAGGGTTCATACAGGCACAGCCTAATGAAAGTCAATTCCAGCACCTATTTTTTTTTCAAGACTGACATGCTATGTATTGAAGACCTGAAATGTATTCTCAGCAACCCATAAAACATTGCATACGAATAGATACAAATAAAAACCATTAATAATAATATTTATTAATCATATATTAATAATAAAATAAACCTGCACTAAGTGCTTGTGAAATCTTTTTTGTACTCAAGTAAAAATACTATCACACTGCTAAAATAACAAAAATTTAAGTAAATAATACTAATATTAGGTAAAAGTACAAATTACTCTTTTAAAAAGTACTAGTTGGTTACTTTTGAAAAAAAATCTGATTTTCATTATGAAATCACTTTTTTTTTTAAGTGTAAACCTAATTTAATAGTTTAATTGCTTACATCCCAAAGCTACATGTATAATTTGCACTAACAAAGGAAGTATAGTCAATTTTTCCTTTCATGACAATTAATCTTTTTCAATAGCACTGGTAAAACTACCAAATAATCT